CAAAGGGGGTAGTCCAGCAAGCAGCTTTCTGATATTATTTAGGGGGGGCCCTAGAATAACGTCTAGAGATTTCAGGCTTAAAAAATATGTTGCTTTAAGTAGACTTGTGTTCATTTCCGTTCTTTTCCTTTTGGTTTGCTTTACTTAGTCTTTAAGCTGTCCAAAAGTTTCATTTTGCAGGTCTTTTGGATTCAGATTTCCATTGAAAACTTGGAGAGTTCCATTGAGATTGAATGATTTTGCAGGTCTTTGGGTTCAGATTTCCATTGAAATTTACAGAGTTAGTTCCATGTCCATTTCTACTTCCATTGATTCCCTTTTATTGTAATATTCCAGATTTCCTCAATCTGAGGTTTCATTGATCCCTTTTCATTTTAAGGCTTTCCAGATGTCTTCAAAGATAGGCTTCTTGATTCCTTTCATTTTAGTATTGCCAGAGTAGCTTCAGAGGTAGCTAGCTAAGGATTCCTTATTTATGTATCAATTGATTGATTTTCTTATACATTATATTGGAGGCCTTGGTTGTTGGGGGGGGGGGGGTTTTATAAATCAAGGGACTACATTAGAGGCCCTCCGTTGCTCCAGCTCTTGCGCTATGCAGCACGTATTGTCGTTTTCGAGCACTTCTTGAATACTTATTGATTTATATGTTTTTTGCGTGGCATTTGCGGTCTTTCCAGCCACTGGGGAGAAGCGTTGACATTTTGCCGTGGACTTTTGTGCATGTTTTGGTCTGAAGATGTTTATGCACAGCCAGGGTATGCGGTACCAAGACGATGCCACACGCACTTTTGGAAGATGGGGGCGGGTTCGGGGCGTAATGACGCTCATTCAGATGTGTTTCGAAGATGATCGTGCACGCACACGCGCGCGGACCTGACTTTCGTTTTGTTGATGGGGAGTTTAGTGAATCTTCAATGAAACGCATTCTTCCTTGGGAGATCTGAGCTTCATGTGTCGATGTACTTCTTATTCGTTTGTTGCTTCCACAGTTTTTTGTTCACATGACATGTTGCAGTTGTGCGTCTGGCTTTGTGTGTGTTTAATCTTCTTGGATCTTGTTGGTTTGTTTATTTGCTGCTGACTTTGGCTTTTTGTCCACCCATCCTGTCAAAAGCCCATGGTTTTTTGTCCATCCTGCTTATTTACACTCGAGTGTGGATGTTTTGACATTGCCATTTGATCCTCTTGCGTCCTTTGTGGAAAAGGCAGTTCTATTCAATTATCGTTGGCCTCTTCCTCTTGGTGAGTTTGATTTTTGTTTGCCTTTGCTGTGGATGTTTACGTGGTGTTCCATATGTCTATCGTTAT